CATACAAAGAGGCCCTTTAGGGCCCCTGTTGGGCACCAGCTTGCTCCAAAAGGGGCCCTGAAGGACTCCTTTCAGGGCCCTATTCTTCACCCCCCATTTGGGTCACCCCCCGTTGCCACTGGCCCGAGCAAGGGCCTGCACAACGCCAGGCATGCCCTTGCCGACGCTGGCCGCAAGGGCGTGCGATGTCTCCTCCGCCCAGCGCAGGTCAGCGCGCAGTGCGGCCGCCTCGTCACGAGGCCAGGGTTGGCCTGGGCCAGGGCGCGGTGCACCTCTTCCGCAGCGCCCTTGCTCCCGAGGCTTATGATGTTCCAACCTACTTTGGCCTCGATCACCAGAAAGAATTTCGAGCACCAAGAAAGTACCGAATCTCGAGGGCTTTCGCGTGTCGGGCCCTGGGAGACACTTGTCCGACACTGCTTGGACACTGCTCCGACACTCTTTCGACACTTTCCCGGGTGCTCGAAAATCATGTCTGGGCTGTGGCCCTGAAGTACGACGGGAGCTGCATAACCCGAGGCCCAGGCTCTTGCGCGCGCCTGCTCTGAAGCCCCCCCCTGCCAGCGCCACCCAAGCCTTCCTAGACGGTCTGCGCGTCGGCTACGCATGGGGCGACGCGCAGGCTCGGAAGTCCTGTGCCAGGAGGGGAAAAACACACACACACACACAAACACACACAGACACAGTTAATCGTCGATCCCCAGGAAAATATGGGAAACTTTGGGAAGTGGGGGGAAGACGAAAACCTTGAAAATACGGGAAAGTATGGGGGACCCTGTTCTTTGTGTCTATCTATTTGTGTGCCCCAGGGCCCCCTTCATTGTGGCACGAGCTCCGTGGCGGGCGCTCTCCGGCCACACACCCGCCACGGGGAAGCGAAATGCAGTGGGGACCGATGCCAATGCAGGGGCACCGGTAGGGGGGGGGCAGGCATATATATATATATATATATATATATACCTATACGACCACCCTGCGGGTGATAAGGAGGTGAGGGGGGAGGGGGAACCAACGTCTCACTCAATCGATCTCGCTATCGATCTCACTATCGATCTCACAATCGATCTCACAATCGATCTCACAATCGATCTCACATTCGGTCTCACATTCGGTCTCACTGTCGATCTCACTATCGATCTTACAATCGTCGATCTCACATTCGGTCTCACATTCGGTCTCACTATCGATCTCACTATCGATCTTACAATCGTCGATCTAACATTCGATCTCACATTCGATCTCACTATCGATCTCGACGAGCAACATCGTCGTCATCAACATCATCATCATTATCATCATCGGGACACCATCATCATCACCATCATCAATCAGCATCATCATCATCATCATCATCATCATCACCATCACCATCACCATCATAGTCATCATCATCGGGACACCATAATCATCAACATCATCATCATCATCAACACCATCATGATCGGGACACCATCATCATCATCATCATCATCATCATCATCATCATCATCTCATCATCATCCTCAACATCGTCATCATCATCATAATCATCATCAGCAACATCATCATCATCGGGACACCATCATCGTCATCATCATCATCAACATAATAATCATCATCATCACCATCGGGACACCATCATCATCATCGACATCATCATCATCATCATCATCATCAACGTCATCATCATCATCATCGGGACACTATATATCATCATCATCATCAACATCATCATCACCATCATCAACATCATCATCAACACCATCGTCATCGGGACACCATCATCATCACCATCATCAACGTCATCATCATCATCACCACCATCATCATCACCATCATCACCATCATCACCATCATCACCATCATCATCATCTCATAATTGATCTGACTATCGATCTCACAATCGATCTCACTGTCGATCTCACAATCGATCTCACATTCGGTCTCACTATCGATATCATAGTCGATCTCACAATCGACGTCATCATCATCATCAACATCAACATCATCATCATCATCATCATCATCATCATCGCCATCATCAACATCATCATCATCATCATCACCATCATCATCATCATCATCATCATCGGGACACCATCATCATCACCATCATCAATCATCATCATCACCATCATCACCATCACCATCACCATCACCATCACCATCATAGTCATCATCATCGGGACACCATAATCATCAACATCATCATCATCATCATCATCAACACCATCATCATCGGGAAACCATCATCATCATCATCATCATCATCATCACCATCATCATCATCATCATCATCATCTCATCATCATCCTCAACATCGTCATCATCATCATAATCATCATCAGCAGCATCATCATCATCGGGACACCATCATCGTCATCCTCATCATCATCAACATGATAATCATCATCATCCTCACCATCGGGACACCATCATCATCATCATCGACATCATCATCATCATCATCATCATCATCATCATCATCGGGACGCTATCATCATCATCATCATGAACATCATCATCACCATCATCAACATCATCATCAACACCATCGTCATCGGGACACCATCATCATCAACATCATCAACGTCATCATCATCACCACCATCATCATCACCATCATCACCATCATCACCATCATCATCATCATCTCATAATCGATCTGACTGTCGATCTCACAATCGATCTCACTGTCGATCTCACAATCGATCTCACATTCGGTCTCACTAGTTATCGATATCACAATCGATCTCACAATCGACGTCATCATCATCATCATCATCATCATCATCATCAACGTCAACATCATCATCATCATCATCATCATCATCATCATCATCATCATCGCCATCATCAACATCATCATCATCACCATCATCATCATCACCATCATCATCATAATCATCATCATAATCATCTTCAACATCATCATCGGGACACCGACGGGACACCGACGGGACACCGGCGGGACACCGGCGGGACACCGCGCGCCACCGGCCGTCCGGAAGAGACACATTTGGTTTGGCCGCGCCTCAGCCACAGGGACACCGACGGGACACCAGCGGGACCGGCGGGACACCGCGCGCCACCGGCCGCCCGGAAGAGACACATTTGGTCCGGCCGCGCCTCAGCCAGGAGACTTTCTCTCGCCCGCCCACGCAGCTTCGCCTCGCCCGCACGCACGGCACGCACGAACACGAAACCGAAATCGATTTCCCGGTAGGGGGGCTCTCCGTTCCACTTCGATCTCACCCCGGTCACCTCCGATATATATATATATATATATGTATATATATAGGGGGGGATACATCGACCCCCAATCGCCCATTCATCGCCGATGGGGGCCCGACAGCCCCAACCTGCCCAGGAAGGTGCGGATTCACGATCGGAGGCCCATCGCCGATCTATCGGCGATGTATCGCCGATTCCAGCCCGATGCATCCCCCACTATGCCAGTCCCCCCCTATCGTTGCCCATCAGCCAAGAAACGCCCTGCTCGCCTCCAGGGTGCTCAGGGTTTCTTGGGTCTCGACGGCTTTGCTATGGAGAGCGTGATGTCCCCCCACACCAGAATTCAATGGTCGTCCTGGGGTCTCTCAGGGTTGAGGTCCTCGCGGAAAGTTTCTTGTGATCGGGCCCGTACCGTACGAGAAGACTTCGTACTACACGTTCGGGTCGGACGCGTGTCCTTGTCCGCCCCGCACTTCGCAGCCGTCGCCCGCCTCCTCTCTCGCCCGCGGCGGCCAGCAGCACCAGCCAGGCGGCCTCCCGCTCGCCGGCGCCTCTCGCCGGCGCCTGGCGCGGCGCTCTGTCGTCCACGCCGCACAGGCGTGCCCCCGGCCGCTCCCAGAGCGACCCGCGGCGCACCGCTGCCGTGGGGCGAGCGTCAGAAGCAATGCTCGGTGCGAGCGAAGTGGGTACCTACGGAGAGAGTGGGTACGACGGCTGACAGGAGTGCCTGTCCATTCCGAACAGGGTTCGCGGTCCGTGCCGCCGCAGGCTATGTCGCTATGTCCATTCGAGACAGGAGGCCGCCTGCCCAACAGCGGCCGCTGTCGGTTTTGGACAAGATTTGCAGTTGGGCATCGTGATTCCAATTGTTTGTCCGTACCATCTTCGGGCGTCCGAACCCTTGAGCCCGAATGGCTATGGAAGGTGGGAGGAGGAGGAGGAGGAGGAGGAGGAGGTGGAGGAGGAGGAGGAGGAGGAGGAGGCATGGCTGGCAGACCCCCTCCCCCCTGGGAGTGGCCGTTGTCTCAGGCAGCCGGCCAGCTTTGGAGGAGCCGCCCTTTGCGTGAGGCGGCGGAGGAGCCTGCCAGCTCCCGACCACCGAGCGCCCGCGGGAGATCGGGACGATCGATATTGCGTACAGAAAGGGGGGTTCAGTCGGTGGTTCAAAGATGTGGTCTTGAGGGATGGGGTCCTAGGGATTCGGATAGGAAGGGGTCCAAGGGTAAATTTGAGGCACCTCGTCCTTAGGACCCCATCTCTCAGGACCCATCTTTGAACCACCGGTTCAAACACCGACAGGAGTTCCTGTTCGCTTTGGACAGGACTCGCTGTCGGTGTCGCCGAGGACGTTGGCAATGTGAGGCAGCAGGCCGCCTGCCCAGTAGCGGCCGCCGTCGGTGTTGGGCTGCATGTGCTGTTGGGCGTTCGTACCCCTCCTCTCCGTGCCCACTGCGGGCGTGCCAACGAGAGACCCGCGCACGGCCGCGAGCGGAAGGGGGGGGAGGAGCAGGAGCAGGAGCAGGAGGAGGAGGAGGAGGAGGAGGAGGAGGAGGAGGAAGAGGAGGGCAAGGAGGAGGAGGAGGAGGAGGAGGAATAGGAGGAGGAGGAGGAATAGGAGCAGGAGGAGGAGGAGTAGGAGGAGGAGGAGGAGGGGAGGGGAGGAACAGGAAGAGGAACAGGAGGAGGAACAGGAGGAGGAACAGGAGGAGGAACAGGAGGAGGAACAGGAGGAGGAACAGGAGGAGGAGGAGGATGCGAGCTCGCGCGCCGCTGGTCGGCTCGCTAAGGCCCCTCCCGCGCGAGGACCCCCGCCAGCGCCCCCGGCACGCGCCCCGCCCGTCGCGCGCCGGGGGCGCTGTCGCTCGCGGAGCTGAGGGGCATCGTGCTGACACGGGCGGGCGCGAGCCCGAGGACGGCATTCGGTGTCCTTTCCATGCTCAAGTCGGGCCTGTCCCTCTACAGGAGGAAGATCCAAAAATGGTCCAGACATAGTCAGGGGGCGATTTTCTGACCACTTTTGAATATTCGGAGGGTATGCTTTGAGTATTTCGTATTTTTCGCCCAAAATTCCCCTGCAGGGGGACACGCCCGACTTAATTTTATGCGGGCGGGGGGCGGGGGCTCACCCAATCCTTATTCTTGGCGCTTGCCAAGCGGCCCTGGGCGTTGATTGAACAGCCCTGGCCTGCTCGATTCCTTCCTGAGGCGCGTCTTCTAAACGGCTCAGCCTGTCGGGGTGCTTACTGTGCGGGTGGTTTATCTGCTTTCTAATCATCGAAGAAAAGCAGAAACAGCATAAACATAAGCAGTTGAAGCCGCTTCAGATTTTGACATCGGAGTTGCCCCTCCCCTGGCGGCGCCTCCGTCGGCCCCCCCGCCCGCCAGGAAGGAGTGCCCTGCACAGATCCCAGAAATCCCCGGACCTCTGTTTTTATTTTGATGTTCAGTGTTCTGTCTACTCTACTTGGTTATCGAAGACGCCTTTGGCGAATCACCGCCGCCCCTAGCCTGTTGGAAGCGCCAACGTGGCCGAACGCTGGGGCAAGAGCATGGCCAAGCTGTTGGACTATGTGTTCTCCTGGCCGTTGTGGAATACCCCTTGGTGGAACACTTGGGCGAGGATGAGGGAGAAGGAGGAGAGGGAGGAAAAGGAGGACGACGAGGAAGAAGAAGAAGAAGAGAAGGCCTCTTGAATCACGTAAGGCCCTCTCGGGGCTCCCTGCTGGTTTCCTGGGAGCCTCTGCTGGTGGGCCTCTTAGGGGCCTCCCGGGGCCTCTCGAGGGCCTCCTGCGACCTCTTGGGGGCCTCCTGCGGGACCCTTGGGGGCCTCATGGGAGCCTCTGGGGGCCTCTCCGCGGGCCTCGTGGCCTTCGGAGGCCCTCTTGAGGGCCCCATCTGGGCCGTCGTGGTGCCCTTTTTGGGTGCTCTGGGGCCGTCGTGGAGGTCCACGGGGATTCTCGCTCTGGGGACCTTCCCGAGTCACTCGTTCCACTCATCGTCGAACTTCGGCCCGCTCGTCTTCCGTGGGCCGAACTCGAGTCGAGCCCTTGACGAACACCTTCCGGTGGAGAGCCATGCCAAGAAAAACGCCCTGCTTGCCTCCAGGGTCGGGCTTCGATGGTTTTGCCATGGAAGGCGTCACGTGCCCACACCAACAATCAGTGGACGCCTTGGGGTCTCAGGGTTGGGATGGCGGCCGAGCCGAGGGTCGATCTGTGAGGGGAAGGGGCGGACGCTCCGACAGGAACTCGTGAAGCCCCCTCCCCGAAGCGGCGCTCGCCGAAGCGAGGTAGCCCAATGTTTTACACCTGCTGCTCGGTGCATTTTGCTAACAGCATTTCCCACAGATGCTCTAAGGAGTCGGCTGTTTGGCTGATGTGGTGAAGCCGTGGAGGTCAACAAAAAAGGTTTCTTGTGGACTGGCCTCCGCTGCAGGGCAGGGCCTTCGGCGCGCTCCTTGCGCCGCGGCGGCCGGAGGGAGCGCGGGCGCGGACCGCGGGGCTGGCCGATGGGCATGCTTTCCACCACCACCACCATGAGTTGGACGGGGGGGGTCCTCCTCCTCCTCCTCCTCCTCCTCCTCCTCCTCCTCCTCCTCCTCCTCCTCCTTCCCCCCTCCAAGTTGTGGTGGTGGTGGAAAACCGGCCCATCGCGGGCCGCTCCCGAACTCGAGTCGAGCCCGAGTCAAGCATCCAGCTGGGCCCTGGCGCGCTCCCTGCGTCGCGGCGGCCGGGCGCGGGCCGGACTGCGGGCCAGGCCTGCCCCCGGCAAGGGGGGGGTCCAGCGGGAGTGGCTCTCCAGCGGACGTCCTTGGCCGCTCCCGGGGGCTTTCGGGCAAGAGAGCCAAAGGACGATCGCAGGCGAATTTGTCTCTTTCAGTCCCCGAGTTCCCCGCACAAAAGCTGGCCACTCAGGAGGTCGATCGCAGGCGAGTTGTTTCCTTCAGTCCCCGAGCTCCCCAAATAAAACAATGGCCATTCCGGAGGAAGATCGCAGGATATGTGTTTTTTTCAAACCCCGAGATCCCGACGAAAAATGGCAATTCAGGAGAACGATCGAAGGCGAGTTGTTTCCTTCAGTCCTCGAGCTGGCCACTCAGAAGGGAAAGGGAACTCGCGGATACCACCTCCCGGGGAGCTACCTATGGACGCACCCCTTTCGAGGATGGATCAGCCAGTGGCGAAGAGCCCTGTCTCGCCTATAGGGCCAACAAACAATGTTTTAAGAACCTTTTGTGGTCTGCACGAAATGCTCTTAGACCATTTCTGGCTGAGACGGTTTTGTTTTGATAATCGGGCTTCTGTTCTAAGAACATCGTTGTGTTTTCAGCACGTTTTGGTTTCTAATAAGATTTCGTGCTAGGCCTAGACGAATGCCGGGACGGTCGGTCCCTGCTCAAATGAACGCCCCCCCGTCGCATACACTCGAGTTCGGCCCCAAATGTTTGGTCCATTGGGGAACCCCACAAGGTCGGAGGTTGGGGTCGCCATACCCCAGTAGTGGCCCAGTAGCTTTTTGTCTTGGCCTTGCGCCCTGGACAGGGCAATCTCACCCATACGTTCTTGGTTGTTTTGCTTTTGGTTGCCCATGTGTTCCCCCCTTCTCCGCTCCTCCTCCCCCTCCTTCTCCCCCTCCTCCTCATCCTCCTCCTCCTCCTCCTCCTCCTCTTCCACCTCCTGCCGCGCACGATGTAAGTTATGCGACCGCCGTCGTGCGGCCACTCCCGCCAAGCGGCGAGCACAGGCTGGCATTGCCTCCTTTCGCCCACGCGCTCAGGCCCATGCCTTGGAGCGAGTGAGGCGTACCCCCCCTGAGGCTACCGCTACCCAGGGGTGAACCATTTTCTCAGCCCTGCCGAATGATGATGATGATGATGATGATGATGATGATGATGATGATGATGAGGAGGAGGAGGAGGAGGAGGAGGAGGATGAGGATGAGGATGAGGATGAGGATGAGGATGATGCTGATGATGATGATGATGATGATGATGATGATGATGGTGATGGTGATAGTGATGGTGATGGTGATGGTGATGGTGATGGTGATGATGATGATGATGCTGATGCTGATGCTGATGATGCTGATGCTGATGCTGATGCTGATGCTGATGCTGATGCTGATGCTGATGCTGATGCTGATGCTGCTGATGATGCTGCTGCTGATGATGATGATGATGATGCTGATGCTGGTGATGGTGATGGTGATGGTGTTGATGCTGGTGATGGTGTTGATGGTGTTGATGCTGATGCTGATGGTGATGATGATGATGATGATGATGATGATGATGATGATGATGATGGTGATGGTGATGCTGATGCTGATGCTGATGCTGATGCTGATGCTGATGATGCTGATGATGCTGATGATGCTGATGATGCTGATGATGCTGATGATGCTGATGATACTGATGGTGCTGATGATGCTGATGATGCTGATGCTGTTGCTGATGCTGCTGATGGTGATGGTGAGGATGGTGAGGAGGAGGCGGAGGAGGAGGAGCAGGAGGGAGGAAAGGAGGAGGAGGAGGAGGAGGAGGAGGAGGAGGGAGGAAAAGGAGGAGGAGGAGGAGGAGGAGGAGGAGGAGGAGGAGGGGCCTTCGTCCGGCCACGGCCGGACAAGACTTGCGGGCGGGCTTGGACCGCAGGCAGTGCTCAGGGCGGCGGCCCTCCCAGCCCCTCCGCCGGGCGCTGCCGGGGGCGCGCCCTGGGCCCCAAGGGCGCCGCAGTGGTTCCGGTCGTGCGCGGCCACGGGGGAGGTGCGTCCACGAGGGAGGTGCGTCGTGGCCTTGGGTCGGGCCTGTCCCTCTACAGGGGGGAATCTTCAAAAGTGGTCAAAAAATAGTCTGGGGGCGATGTTTTGTTATCTCTGGCTATTTGGGAGTATTTTTTAAGTATTTTTCATTTAATCGCTTCGCTCATTCCGCCAGCCCATACAGTCTCATGTCTGTCGTTTGCCCGAGGGCCTGGTGTCAATGCGGCGCTTTGGGGGTTCTTTTGCCAGGCGTCTCGGGAACCTCTTGGAGGCAGTGTTGAAGCCTCTGGAGGCCCCGTAAGGGCCGTTTGGGGGTCGTTGGGGCTTCTTGTTGGGCTTCTTGGGTGGTTCTTGGGGCGTCTTGGGGGACTTATTGGCGGGATGTTGGTGGCTTCTGAGGTGATCCTAGGGGCAGAATCCCCCTTTGGGCGCCTCTTGGGCGGTCCTGGTGCTCTCTTGTGCCGTCTTGGGGTTATCTTGGGCCGTCTTGGGCCGATTTTAGCGGATTGTTGGGCTGTCTCGGGGCGATGTTGGGGGCTATTTGCGTAGTCTGAGGCGCTGTGAAACTCGAAACGCCGTTCATGCGGGAAGTGTACATGTTCCACTGGGAATGGGACGATTTTTGATTGTAATGGCCGTCTTGGAGGGCCTCTTGAGGCTCTCTTGGGGCTTCTTGGCGGCCTCGACGGCAATTTTGAGGTCATCTTGGGCGATTTGGAACGATTGTTCGGCGACTTGAGGCCGCTTGGATTGTTTCGGGGGCGTTCTGGTGCCGTTTTGGCGCGCTCCTGGAGCGTCGTCGTCGTCGTCGTCGTCGTCGTCGTCGTCGTCGTCGTCGTCGTCGTCGGGGGTGTGATGGGAGGCATCACGCTCTGGGCGGCGTGCGGAAGACATTGTGTGAATATTTTTAAGTATTTTTCATTTTTCGCTCAAGATCCGCCTGTAGGGGGACACGCCCGACCTAATCCTGGCGGGGGCCATGGTATCTCCCAGATCTCACGGCCCCCGCTTCTGCTATCCGCTCCGTGGTCCACCCCCCCTCCTCGGCCGCGCGCGTGCCTCGGGCCATGGCTTGCGAAGCCCCGTCTTGGGCGCCCGCGTCTTGGGCGCCCCCGATGTTGCAGGGAGGGTCGGGTGGCATCCCGGGCACCTCTCACGAGGCTTCGAACCCTGAGATGCTGGCGCCGCACTTGTTGAGAGCAGGGCGTTTTCTCCAGGTTTCGGGCCCCAGGGCCCGCACAGGTCGATCTGGTGGCCTCGCGGGCTGGGCCCTCAGTCCGCGGGCCTGCGGATACGGGGCCTTTCTCGCGGATGCCCTGCGCAGCACGTATCCATGCGACCGCGTATTCGCGGGATCGCGCCTTGGAATCTGGACCGCGAGGGCGTGGATATGGATACGTTCGCCGCTCGTGAGCGAAAGGCTGGGCGGCGGGGCACCTCGGGCCAGCATCACCTCTACTGGCAGCCGCCGGCCCCAGCCCATCCTTCTGTCCCCCTTGCCGCGGGCGCCCCTGTTTTGCACAAACGCAAGCGAGCCCCAGGGCGAAACGCAATGAGGAGCGAGGGGGAGGATAGGAGGAGATGGGTGGGTGGGTGAAACACGGGCAGCCCCAGCCCAGGGCTGCGCCACACCTCGGGGAACAGACAGCGACGCAAACGCGCAAGCTGTCGGAGGTCCGCGCGGATGTGTCGGATCTGCGCCTGAGCGCCCCGCCGTGTGCCCCCCCTCACCACCCACCACTCCACCCCAACCCAAGCCGGAGGCCTCAAGTTGCCCTCCATCTCCAGTGGGGGGGGGGGCGGGTAACATGTGAAAACACACGGACCCCGTACCCTGAAGTCGGGCACCTCCCTCTACTCTACAGGAGGAATGTTCAAACATAGTTTTAAAAATTAGTCAGGGGACGATTGCTTTACCATTTTGGAGCATTTGTGGCGTATTTTTAGGTTATATATGTATATATAAAATCGTCCAAAATCGGCCTGTAGGGGGACAGGCCCGACTTAACCGCACCCCCGCCCCAGCCCGAACTTCGGGCCAAACTCGGGCCTTCGTGTGGGGTCGGGGTGGCGTGGCAGGTAGGCCCCCCCCGCCCCCCCCCCACGGCTCCGCGCGCGTCGCCCTCCGCGGGCGGCGGCCGCGAGCCGCACGGCGCGCGGGCCAAGCGGGGGGCCGGCGAGGCTCCCGGGGCGGCTGCCTGCCGCCGGGGTGGGGGGCGGCTGCTGCCGCGGGCCGTGGCCGGGCCTATACCAGGAGGGGAAAAAGCACACAGGCGCAATTCATCGTGGGCTCCCAGGAAAACATGGGGAAATATGGGGCGTGGGGCGGAACGGGGGGATCCCGGGATTTGTGTGTATTTATTTGTGTGTCCCAGGGCCCCTTGAATGTAGCCGAGCGGGCGCGGCCGGGAGCGTGCTGACGGCGCCACCGGAACAGTTGTCCGCCGCGGCGCGGTAGAGGCAAGCCGCTCGCGCGTGAGAGCTGCCAGGGGGGGCGCTGAGTGACGGGGCAGCGAGGGGCGGGGCAGTGAGGGGCGGCCGCAGAGGGAGAGAGGAGGAGGAGGAGGAGGAGGAGGAGGAGGAGGAGGAGGAGGAGGGCACTGTCTTGGGCTCTCGGCGCTCGTGGGTGTCTTGGGCTCTGGGTCCCCGCGTCCTCTTCCCTCCGGTCCTTAGAGCCTTCTCTCTTGTCCCGCGGGGCCCCCTTGGAGCCCTGGCCCGTAGTGGATCTGCGGTCGCGGCGCCGCGCGCGCGCCGCGGGCGCGCGCGGCGGCCGCAGTCGCGAGTGGAGGTGCAGGACACCGCGGCGTGCGCCATGGGGTGAGTGAGTGAGTGAGTGAGTGAGGAGGGCACTCACCGCGGAAGGGCACTGTCCAACACGCAAGGGCGACGCTTACGCTCAGGAGCTCTTACGGCAGAAGCTTTGTGGCGGGCGTTTCTTGGCCATACTGCTTGAGCAACGACATGCAGTGAGATGTTTGTATTCAGTGTTCGGGTCGGACGTGCGCTTCCAAGGAGGACGCATAGTACTGGTATGTCCTGATGCGTTTCGTGCTGTTCCGCACCATGACAAACGAACAGCACACCATACCCACATGGGGGCTCGGAGGGAGGAGGACTGGCTATGGTTATGGGTGCGGGTTGTCGGACCCTGGGTGAGGCTCCCGTTCGAGCGAGGACCCCCATACGACAACACGCACACTCGTGGCCCCCTCCGTCGCCCGTATGGGTGTGGTGTGTGTGTGTGTGTCGTTTTGTCGTCACGCCAGGCGGTGCCCAGAATTCCAGACCACGGTCGTTGGCCTTCGGGGGAGGGCCCTCGTCACCACGGCTGGACGCAGCTCGGATAACTTGTGGATTTGGACCCCTAGAGGGGTCAGGGGACTGACTTTGAGTCCCCGTGGTTTCAGCTCGCAGCTCGCCCTGTACCGAGTGAGGGCCCCCTTCCGCGCGCGGCCCATGCCACGCGCCCTCGGTGCAATAAGCGGCGGCGGCCCCCAGCGCGTCCGCATCGCAGCGATCCCTGGACCGCACCCTGAATCCCTACTGGCCGGCCTACGCCGCGGACTTCTCGTCGCCGTGGGACCCCGTCGACGACGTCGATTGCGTGGCCTCGAGGCACCGTGGGGTCGTCGTCGTCGTCGTCGTCGTCGTCGTCGTCGTCGTCGTCGTCGTCGTCGTCGTCGTCGTCGTCGTCTCGGAGGCTCGTTGGCGTTCCTGGTTGGAACCGTCTGGGAGTCTGAGGCGGCCCAGCGATGGTTCTGGTCAGCAGGAAGGGCGGGCGTGTTCGAGGTTCTGCGTTCGGACTGGTCTTTTGCCGCTGTCGTGTCCCCGGGCCATCAAAAACGGATCTTGGGTGACAATTCCGGCAGGGATCCTGGGACCGACTTTGAACGGACGTGGCCCCCTTCCTGACAGATTTGCGGCGGCGAGCGATGGGGGGGAAGTGAGAGGGAGAATGTGTGTGAATTCCTTCTCTCTATCACTCATACTCTTCTCTACCGCTGCCTTTTTCGGTTCAGGTACAGGAGACTCAGTCAGACGGCGGCGAGGAATACATCCCTGTATCGCTGTCATCCTTCTTCTATCTACGGATCCCCTCCGGTCGGTTAAGGGCTTCGGTTTTTCCCTTCCATTCACAGGTTATCAGTCTTCTCGATTTCGCTTCTCGGCCGTCGAACCTTAAGTCGCCGATCCCCTCTCTGCTCCGATGGCCACTCCTTCGCGGGCGGCTGACGGACTTCAGCGAGTGGGGTCTCCGACGAGTCGTAGGCTCGACGGTGCCCTGGAGACGGCAGACGGAGCTGGCTCGATACCGATCCCCGCCGCCCCGCTGGCGGACGCAGAACACGTTTGGAGGCCAGGTTAGCACGTTGCGGAACGCTCTCGTTGCCAGTCGGGAGCAATCCTTACGCGTATGTTTAACACGACATGCATTGGGGAGGGCTCCCACTTCCCTCAGGACCTCGCTTCTTAACCTCCTGCTCCCGCTTCTGCTCCGAACTTCGTTCGCACCACTGTTGCCGACGCCGCGATCGTTTCGACACCCGTCGGGGGCAACGCCTACGTGTCCCAGTCGGTCGAAAGTCCCACGCGTGAGCCCACTATTCTTGGTAGCGCCATGCCTGCGGTCCATTGGTACACCATGCCTGCGGTCCAAAGCCCCGCGGCGTTCCCGCGCGTGCGATCGAATTCCGTGGCGGTCGTTCAGGCTCAGAGCTGGCGACCGACGCGAGGACCCCCGCAGCGCGCAAAAGTAGAGCGCCCCCGGATCGTCATACGATGAGTTTTGCGCGGGGTGAGGCTATCCGCAGCCTTTCTCAGGGGCGCTCGCGGCCAGCCTCCCGGAGGCCAGCCTTCCAGAGGCCGACCTTCCAGAGCCCTCCCCGCCGATGAGCCCGCTTTGCCTTCTGCCCAGACTATGGGTGAGCTCGAAGATCATCAGGTCGAAACGTTCGCTGCTCGACAGTTTTCAGGGCTCGCGCAAATTGTCGCTGGGACGGCGTCACAGACAGCCATCTTGCGCGAAGATCTGCGCTGGGGCATCGTCTCCATCGATAATCGGATCGCCGACGATCGCTGGATCTTTTGGAAAAGGTCCAGCATCAATTCGATGCCGTTGGGTCACACCGAGGCCATGTCCACTACAAGTCTGACCCTGAGACCCGACCGGGCGGTTTTTGAAATGCAGGTCGCAAGGTCAGGGATCAGAACGACTCCAGGTCCCAGCCTTTGCACAGCGAGATCCGCCCCGCCGCCGCGTTCCCTGTTGGTACTCTGCCAGGCGCGCCGTTTACTCTCTCGTACGGAGAGATGCGAGTTCTGCGACCGCCTCGAATCCCAGACAGCCGCATTGCGAGCCGAGACAACGAACATCCAATAAGACCTCTACAGTAAGTGTGTTTTGCCGAATCACTGTGAATCAACGCTTCCTTCATTGATAATTGGGTGGGGTTCCCAAAGTTGTCGCCCGAATTTGTGCGATTGAGCAGAGTGGCAGAGTTGTGTCGCACGGGCCCTGACTGGCCAGCTGGGCACCACTTCGGTTGACGATAGCGCCCCGAAGACTGCAGAGGTGCAGGCCTTAAAAACGGCAATGGGCCACATGCGCGAAGAATTCTCCACACTTCCGCGATCAAGATGCTGAAAAAAAACACGGGCTTCAGATGTTCTGGCCCGTTTGGACGAGAAACAGAGATATCCGCGAGTTGGGCACTCTGATCCGTACATTTACCTCTCAACCTGAAAGACAGCACGACCAGCCCACCAAGCGTGCCATCGACATCCTGTCAGAAGCTCGCAGCCTCGAGCTTCTGCGTGGGCCGGCTGCAGCAGGAGTGCGCGCCGCGACGAAATCTTGCCCAAGCACGTCGCAGACGCGATCCATTTGGTTGACCCGCCGACGCGGCGTTACTCACCAGGCGCAGGTTCTGCATCTGCTGTCCCCGCACGTCGTGATTCGCCCGCCCCAAAAACACAGCCAGCATCTGGCAGAGCCTCGTACGAGTAGCTACAGAACACTCGTTTGCGCCAGCCCCTTCACTGCACGTTGTCGGTGGGCCCCTATCACCGCCGCGCCGACATGGAGTCGGAACGCGCGCGTGCACCCCTCCTGCCGCAGATCGAGCAGCTGCTCGAGTGGCAACAGAAGGTGCGCAAAATATTCGGCGGCGCTTCCAGGTGTCCCTCCCAGACGCGCAAGTTCATCTGCTTTGCTGAGCAGCCCGGCATCAAAATAAGGGATTTGCAAGACAGCGACGACTTGAAGAGCATCGATTGCAAGTTTGCGGAGGCTATCGCAGAGATGCTGCCCAGCGAGCTTAGCCAGGACATCGAGTCACTCGAGGGCCAGGAGCCCAAACGCTGCCGCGTGCTGAAGGGCCGTCAGATCTACTGTGTCATCCTGCAGTCCTGCATGGTCGCTCAGGCCGAGGACTGCACTGCATCCTCTTTGAACAAATCAACGCCCTGCGCCTGCGCGACGATGACTTGTAATGGATCCTGGTCGGACGGGGCAACCTACTACCCGACGTCCACGAGCTGCATCCCGCGAAGATCTTGGAATCTATTTCGCACGCAGGTCCAAAGCCACCCTGGGATGAAAATGGACATGGCGGAGCACAACAGGTTCAGTGATTTTGCGGGCGCGTCAATGACAATATTGAACAGCACCGCTTGCAGAATAACAAGTACAGACTCCTCGAGTCCGCCGGTCCGAAATCAGCTCAGGCCCCGTGCGTTTCCTGCAAGCAGCTCGGCAAGTGCACGGTGGCTGGTGCAGCATTTTGCGCGCCATCGCCGGGCCTGCGCGGGCGCGCTCCACCTTCTCCTCCGCGTTTCACCCGCGAGCGGGCCAGCCCAGGGCAGCGCCCCAGGAGCCCCGCGCCAAAGGCGGCGCGGCCATCCAGCTTTCCACTTGCAAGAACTGGACACTGCCGCCACGGCAACGAGCGCAAGTGCCGGCGCGCCGAGCAGCGAATCTTCCTCAACAACAGCGCTTGCGGCAAAGGCGACGCGCGCCCACGCGCGCGCGCGGCGCCCGAGAGTCCAGGGGGCGCCCGCGCGAAGCCTTCCCAGTCGCGGCCCCCCTCTCGCGACTCCCGTCGCACCCCCCGCGGCCCCCGACGGGGCGGCCCCGGCGGCGCGGGGCGCGGCCCCTCTGTCCACGGCAGAGGGCGGTCTCCCACAGCGGTTCCAGCGAAGAACAGGCAGCGGCGCCGCGGCCGAAGACAATTGGAACAGCTGGGCGACGGTCGCACCGTCGACGTCTACGACCCCGAGGTCGGGCCCCGACGGTCGGGCAGTGCCAAAATTGGATTGCCGGGGTTCAGCGCGCCGCGCGTGCCCTACGCCGGCCACTTTGCGACCGGAGGGTCGTCGCCGCTCCAGCAGTTGCCAAGTTGTCGTCGTCGTCGTCGCCCCGCCATGTCTCGCCTCAGCAGCTGGGGGCAGCGCCCGCGGGCCTTTCTGCGGAGTCAAGTTTTACGAATTCGCCCGCAGTGCTCTCCGCGAAGCGCGGCCTTCGCAATCCAGGGGGCAACCCGTCTCCGCGGGACTTTCCGGAGTCGACCCGGCGCTGCTCTCGCGGGAGCCTCCCGAGTCGACCCGGCACGAGCAATCCTTGGTTTCGCGGAGCCCTCGCGAGTCGACCCGGCGCGAGGAATGTTCCCCGGGGGTGATCCCGACAGGGCCCGGCAGGGGGCGTCTTGCAGACGTAGCCTGTTCTCGCCTGTCATTGCCAAGTCCTCGGTTCTAGACTGCGCACTGCCGCCAAGACCGTCGTCGAAGGTAATCTCTCCCTGCGGGTCCAATGCTCACCGCCTCGCTGCCGCATCCACCGAGTCCTGCGGGGCGCCGCCGGTAGAGGAGAGACCGACCCTCGCGGCGCGGGCCCGAGGGCCCCCCCGATTCGATCCGAAAGAGAAAATCCCCGAGCTGGAGCCCGCCGGCAGGCGGAGCCGGAGCTCGGCTCTCTGGTCTGTCCCGGTTTTCGGGCCCCCCCCTGGGCAGGCGCGCGCTCCCTCGACAAGTTGGTCAACGAAGAGCGCGCGGGCGCGGGGGAGGGCCCCCTCCCCCCTGTCCGCCCCTCCCCGACGAGGGCGCGATCGATTGGAGCTCCGATCGCCGATCGGCGCGCGATCGCCCGCCTGATCCCAGCCCCGGCCATCGATGGATCGACCCGGTTCCCGCCGCCAGCGCCCCCCCCGCCAGGTCCTGGCGACGCTGTTCAGACGACCGCTGGCGATAACATCACGCGCTGCGCGACTCTGCCGGCCCCTTGCCCGCCCCCGCCTTCGCAGCGCACTAAGACGGAGGGGGAGGGGCGCATGGCCGATCTCGATCATCCACGGCATGCGATGCCGCAGTCCCACCGGCGCGCCCCCTACCCGCGACGGCGCGTTTCCGGCGCCCTCGGCGCCGCCCGCAGCTGCCCCCGAGCGGGCCGCAAGGGCCCCCATGCGGCAAGACGGCCGAGCGCTCTCGCAGCGCGGCGCGGCCTCGCTGGCAGAGCCCAGCCGCTTGATTCGCGACCGAACAACATGCCTCACGCAGTGTGTCTCTCTTCCTCTCCGCAATCATGTGTCGGTCAAGATGCCCGAGGTCATTGATAAGTCAAGTGCAAACACAGATTGTCCTACATCCTTGTGCAGTTTCCCATGGTCGGGAGCAAAGCGCGTGACTCCGCGCGCCCGCGGCGCTCGATTGACCCTCGCACTGCGCGGGGTCCGCTGCAGCCATGATGGGGCGGGGCCCCGGCTGCCTGCATGCGCGAGCCGTTTACAGTGTGTCTGGGACGCTTTTTCTGACGGTGCAAGTGACAGCAGAATCGTGGACAATGCCTTTATAAGGTGCATGTCCATGACGGTAATATGCGCTGGTGCATTCCTTTCATGAATTATGCTTCGCCAGTGATGGCTGATAGCTGCGAGCGTCGTTGCTGTAGGCGCCGAACCATGAGTTGTAGTTTGCATGGGGCTGATTGCGTGACACTTTGGTCATGTTCTTCATTTCGTGAACAGTATATCATGCATAATGCTGAGCGAGTTGCCTGCCTTCCTGTGGCAGATGCGAGTTTGGCGAATCGCTTATTTATCTAAATGGTCTACTCGTTCTGGCTGGCGGCGACGCCTGCGCCGGTGACGCCCGTTGGCCGTCCGCCGCGTTACCCGCCGCGCACCCCGCCCCTTGGCTTGTCTGTGCGCCCGAAGCGTTTGTGTGAGCGTGCACCAAGGGAGGCTAAAGGCCCTTGGCAACGGTGATGGGTACTTGGCAGGTCCTTCCTTCCCCTTCTTGCCGTTCGGGGGGTTGCAGAGCGGTGAGTTCGAGGGGTGACATGGGATTCGCACCTCTATGTCGAAGCCCTTGGCCGATGGCCGCGTCATGGGACGTGCCCTCGGGCGGCATTTCGGGACCGGGTGTACGTGCGTGTTCGTGTGCGTGTTCGTGTGTGTGTGTGTGTGTGTATGTGTGTATGTGTGTGAGTGTGTGCGTGTGCGTTTGCGTGTGCGTGTGCGTGTGTTGCGTGTGTTTGTGTGTGCGTAAATTTCCTCTCGCTCTCACTCTTGCTCTTCTCAACCGTTGTCCTTCTCGGCTCAGGCGTTGGAGATTCAGTCGGACGAGACCGGGCAGTGGCGAAGGAACACAACAGACATAGCTGGCATCCTTCATTTACCCACGCATCCCCTGCGGTCGGTGAGGCACTTCGGCCCTTCCCGTCCACTCACGGACATGGCCTTCTCAGGAGGTGGCTGGACTTCTCAGGAGCCCCTCGCGCCTTCTGAGAGTTTTCGTTTGCATCTCAGGGGAAGACGTAGGAAACTTGTCAGAACGGCGGGAGGCTTCCGAGCTTATGAGAAGGCCCACCCCTTCTCACTTCCCCACTGGGCTCGTCGCCAAGATGTTCTGGGGCCCCAACCAGCTCAGACAGTCAGACGCCCCCCGCCGCCTCCAGGTTCCCGGGCTCGCCCTCGCGCGCGGCGGCTGGGCGCGGCCGCGAGAGTTTGGGCAGGGCGGGCCCTATAGGACTCGGGTCGGGTTGCGGCGCGAGGGCCCGGCGGCTTCCAGAGACGCCAGGGTGGCGAGGTGGAGTCGACCTGCGAGGTAGGGATGGGCAGCTTCCCAGGGCCCCCCCTGCATCGTTGCCTCCTCCTTTCATCTTGGGCCGCTTTCGCTGGCCGCGCCCCGCTCGCAAAGTGTCGAAACGGCCGTCCAAGGCCCTTGGGTCCCTATCGTGCATGCTTGATGGTACGGGCCGACTGTAGAGGCCCCTGCGTTCCCCTCTGGGGAGCCACCTGCTGGCTCTCCCCCTTTTTATGCGACCCCTTGTTTCTGCCAGAGGAGGGCGGGTTGAGTCGACGGAAGGTGGCCTTCTGCAAGGGGGGCCTTGTCGCCACGGCTGGACGCAGCTCGGAAAGCTGGTGCGCTAGCACCCCGGGAGGGGTCGGGAGCCCGATTTGAGGTGCCCTCGTCCCAACGTCCAGCCAGCCGACGCGGGGGGGGGCACGGCGCGGCGCGAGCCTCCGCAGACGTCTGGCAGGGGGCCTGGCCACCACCTGACGTGCCAGGCTTTCGATTGTGGAGCGGATGGAGCACGCGGCGAGCGAGACAGGACGCGAGGACACGAGGCGTGCTAGCAGCGCCGCCGCCAGCCAGAGCCAGGCGCGGCGATCCCGTTTCGATCCGATTCGGGACGGTTCGCTGGCGATCCGAAGCCGTTTCCGGTCCGCTACGAGTTCGCGATGCGATACGCCTCCGGCCTCGGAGGCGAGCCCGCAGCGGTGCCGGGCGGCGAGGGGCTCACGGGCGGCGGCGTGCGGCGGCGGCGGCGGCGAGGGGCGCCGGCCGTCAGGTTCCTTCGCGGGGTTCGGCAGCGGGATCCGAACCTGGCCCTCGCCGATCAACGAGGGCCTTGCTGTTAGGATTCAGGCAAGTTTACTTGCATGGCGTTCGCCCCGCCCCCCCCCCCGCCTCGCCCCTCTGCAAACGAAAGCCAGCGTGCAAGAGCCTTTCGACTTGCGTGATTTCCGCACCTGCAAGTCGTTTGCGGCTTGCTTCAGGTTCAGCCCCCCCCCCTCCCCCGTCCATGCAAGTAAATTTGCCGGGTTCTAACAACAGGCGCTCAATTTCAGGCAACGCGATGGGCTGCGGGGGGGGGGCAGGGTTCGGAATCCGTCGAGCGCGTGGCGAAGTTCGGTGCTTACCCCGGGCTCTCGTCGATTCAGGAGAACCGATAGCTGGTGGGGATGGCGTTCGGATGCCGCCGCCTATCGCTGTCGCCGCCGCTGCCGCCGTCTGTCGCCTGTCGCCCACGGCGGCCCAAGAGGCATCGGGGAACAACACACGGAATATACAGAAATGATTGGAGGCCCACGCGGACCTCCCAAGGCTTATGTTTATGTAATGTGTTCAACAGTTCTAAAGCACACGACGGAGGTATTTGACCGTCTTCGGCCTTGGGGGCTCCGTCCGGGCCCCCGCACCCGCAAACAAAACGTCCCAGGCAAAACAGCAAGAAAAAACATGGCCTTGCCTGGGGAAGCGGTCGGGACCTCCGCGGACCCCCCACTGAATAAGTTAAGACATCGGATGCATAGGGAGACCATGCCGCAAGTTTGGGCGCCGCAGAGTGCCTGCGTTGGCATACCCAGCCTGCGCTCTTCTGTGGCCAGCACCTCCCTTTCGCGGGCTCTCGGAGCAGGTCAGTCGTTTTTCTGTTGTCCGAGGCGGGCGCGCAGCTTGCCACACTTGCAGGGACATCGCGACAGTAGCGATCTGGACACCGCTCCTGGAGTCGTTGAGCTGAGTTGGAGTCGCCGTCGCCGTCGTCATATTGCCATTGTTTTCGTCTTCGTCTCCGCCCCCCCCCTTGCGCGCGGCGCGAGGCAGTCGACGCAGTCCCGGCTGGGGTGGTGCGTCAGCCAGCCTGGCGACGAGGGGCCCAGAAGCAGGCAGGGAGGGAGGTTTGAGGATCAGGAGGCTTTCTGGGGATCTCTGCGCTTTTCTATAATTGTTGTGGGGGTCTCTGCTTTCTGGTTTTGGTTTCGACCATTTCTGTGCTTTGGAGGGCTCAGGAGGCATCCCGGGATCTCTGGGGAGACTTGGAGGACCCCAGAGGCCTGAGGCGAGTGGGAGGATTGGGGCGAGTGACAGGCGATGTGTCCATGGGTTTAAGGACGTTCTCGAGTGATGTCTTGATGCTTCTGGAGGTGTTCGGAGGTTTCTGGAGGGGGGAGGAGGTGGGAAGCAGAGGACCGGCGGCGAGCGAGGGGGGGGATTGACAAGGAGAAGGCCCTCTCAGAAGGCGGCGGGACTCCTCAGAAGCCCTCGCGCCTTCTGGAAATTGTTTTTTGTCTTCGGGGAGGGCTTAGGAAACTTCTCAGAAGACAATGGGGACGTCCCAGCCTTCTGGGAAGGCCCGCCCCTTCTCACTTCCCCACCGTGCTTGCCGCCGAGAGGAGGCAGGAGTGGCGGAGGATGAGGAGGAAGAGGAGGAGGAGGATTAAGAGGAGCAGCAGCATCAGCATGAGCAGGATGTTGAGGATTTGGAGCGGCAGGAGCAGGCGGAGAAGGAGGGAGGGGAGGGGTGGGTGAGAAGGAGGAGGACGGAAGATCACGAGGAGGAGGAGGAGAAGGAGGAGGAGGAGGAGGAGGAGGAGGAGACGGCAGTAGCAGGTGGAGGGAAAGCCGGAGAGGGTGGCAGAGAGGGTTCGATGAAATGCCGCTTCCAATGAGGTCTTGGAAAGGTGCCGCTTGGCAGGGCAACGGCAGGGGAGACGAGGGAAGAGTGGAGAGCAAAGATGGCAAAGAGGGGAACTGGCAAGGGGGATGGGGGGATGGAGGACAAGAACGAGGAGGGAATGTTCGGAGGAGGATGGTGAGGATGGTGAGGTGAGGAGGACGTAGAGACGGAGGGTGGAGGGGACGGTGAGGATTGTGAGGAGGAGAAGCTTGGCGAAAGAGGAGAAACATCCTGAAGGATGATGGCTATGATTGTGAGGATGGGCCCCCCTCCCCCTTTCCGTACCGTATCCTCCACTTCCCCTTCATCATTCCCCTCCTCCTTCCCGTCCCCTTCACCCCTCTTCGGCCGTCCTCTCTCCGCTCTGCAAGCCTCCCTCCCTCCCTCACTCATCTGGCCTCCCCCCTCGCCCCATCGCCTTTCTGGCTCCCGCAGCCTCTCTGAGGAACAGGGCAGCAGGAGATGAAGGAGGAGAAGGAGGAGGAGGAGGAGGAGGAGGAGGGGGGAGGAGCAGCAGGAGTAGCAGAGCAGTAATTCGGAGCAGCAGGAGAATGAGGAGAAGTATGAGTAGGGGGACGGCAGCGCCGACGCGGCCGACGCCGCCGATGCCGACGTCGAGGTCGACGCAGGACGACGTCAACGACGGCGCTGGTGACGACGACGACGACGACGACGACGACGACGACGACGACGACGGCGACGGCGACGGCGACGGCGACGGCGACGGCGACGACGACGGCGACGATCCAGCGACGGCGACGCCGACGACGACGACGGCGGCGGCGGCGAAGACAACGACGAAGGCGACTCTGACGCCGACGAGGAGGCTGAGTGCGATGCCAGCGCAGATGGCTGCTGCGAGGACGACGCTGACGACGATCGAGGGCGCACGAGCGCGACGATGGGACGGCGACCGCGGTGACGAGGGCGGTCGCCGGGCGCGGCGCCGAGCCGAGGCGACAGCAGGGGCTCGACGGCCGAGACCCGGGCGGGCGCGGCGGGCGTCGCCTGCCCCGCCCCGGCGCGCCCCGCGTCGGAGCCCGCGCCGAAGAGGGCGTCGGAGCCAGGCGGCGGGGCGGCGGCGGCGGCGCCGAGGCTCTCGACGGCGGCGAGCCCTAAGAGCTTGGCGTCCACACGTCTTCGAGCGGGGCGCCTTCTGCCCCGCTTCGGGCCTCTGGGGGCCCGCACGGAGGGACCCTGCTTGAGAGAGGGCGCAGGAGGATGGGGCGTGAGGCTCTGGTCGCTATGTTTCACGATGCTGCATTTTTGTCGCTGGGTCGGCTCTCAGGGGACGGCAGGGGCGTGGACGACGACGAGGAGGAGGAGGAGGAGGAGGGAGAGGAGGAGGGGGAGGAGGA